AGGGATGCTGCTGTCAGGTAAAACCAATGTCAGCCCAGGGGAGAGGCTGGATCAGGACCATGCCAGCAGCCAGGGGCTGGGGTGCTGCTGGCTCGGTACCAGCCAGCAGTGTGTCCCTATGGGAGACCTCAGGGTCCTCTGGCACCTTGCACCTTGTTAATCCCCCCTTTCTGCAGAAATGTGTGTCAGCCCTGCAAAGTGTGCTGACAAAGCCTTTCCTTCTTTCCTGCTTYTGCTTTGTTCCTGGATGGTAGCCTCTTTTTCGCCTGAAGACCTTTCCATAAAGCTGATGGGCCACTTGCCTGAGAGCTGACATGTGTCTTTATGTAAGGTGAAAAAACAGGTTCCAATACCAACTTCCAGATGTAGTTTCCCAATAAGCAAGTCTGTAGGAGATGGATGGCTCTTCATTAGGCTCGATTGTCCCCAGGTCTCAACATGCAGTGCCCCCATTAACAAATTAAAGAATCTTTTGTCTCCTCTTGTCAATGCTGTTCCCACTGGAAAAAGTCTTGTTTCTGTGCCCGATCAATCAATTATTTTTCTGACAAATTGCCAGATCACAGGGCAATTAAAGTTTTATGTGTAGCTTGGGCTGTTCTCACTGTCTTTTGATGTTTCAGGTAAAAAGCAAGAAYAGAGTTGTATCATTTTAGCACTTTTTACATCTCTCTGAAGAAATTCTCAAGGTATTTTCAAGGTCAAAGTGATAAACAAACAGTGGAAAACAGTGTAGTTGGTGTGGTCCTACAAATGTAATAATGTATTACGTACGATGTATTTTCACAACAATGCAAACTGTAATTAAGGCTACAAAATGGTTTTCTTCCATCATATCTGTGTTTCCATTCACTTTTAATTCTCTGAGTTTATTCTTTCCCTGGGCATGCAGTGCCATCATTGTCATTCAGTGATGGGCTTYCCTCCTGGCAGCAAAACTCAGACTKCATCTTTTTTCAGAAGTCTGGAGCCAGGCTGAACTCTGCTGCTGAACTCTGATGCCTGTGAGGCCCTGCAGTGAGGATTACATGCTTATCTCAATTAAGAAGGATTTAGCAGCATCGGGAGCACAYAGAGATTATCTGCTGAGCTCATGCAAAAAACTGATAATCTGTGAAAAAGGTGGTTTGCAAAGCTCCTCCCAGAAACCCTGGGAACTCAGGGCAAGCACTGGGTTTGCTGGTGGCCCCTGYGAAGCACACACAACTTGCCCACCTTTATTTATGTGAAAGCCTTTGTCTTGTGTTCTGCTGTTGTCAATTGGGCCCTTGGATGTGGATTGATGATTGATAAAAATGTGCCAGCTATTTAGGGATTACATTCGTAGCCACAGACCTGATAACCAAACTGCTGCTYAGGAAACCCCAGAAAAGACCTATCAGAACTGGCAAAGATGTTTAAGACAGTGGCTGTGCCTTTCCCTCTCACAAGGTTAAGTCTTCTGTCCTTGAAGTGTATTTATGTCAATGATGAAACCAAAGGAATACAAAGATACCAAAAMCCCTCATCTCTCTACATGAGAAACATTTCTGTACTTCAATCCATGTGTTTGTTTTCCTCCTTTCTTCAACTGTATTTTAAAATACAAAGAAGTCTCTGATAGGAAATTATTTTTCCACTGTATTGCTTACTGAGGCCAGAGAACTAAAAGAACATATAAGGTCATCCATTGAAAGCTGTGAGCTTTAGTTTACCAGCTGTGGTAACCTTGTTGTTTGCACATTTCATATGTTTACTCTGATTACAATCATAGATAAAATCGTGGCAGTGCTACCTAATAATCTAAGTAAATTATCAAACTCAAAGGCTAACTACAACGAATGATGCTTTTCTTGCTTGGGCATCATGAACTGAGCATTTTCTGCCGGGTGATTTATTTGTTTAATTACTTCTTTTATTCACTTATTTATTTGTATCTGCCAGTTCTTGACAGGAACACRCAAGGACTGTATGGAAGGATTTTTGGTCTGAGAGGAGAAATATTTGAGTTAGAGGGTCCCAGTCATCTCTTTTCCTGTTCCCCAAATTTCTGCCTTTCAGTCTACAGGAAAGCAGCTGAGACAAAGAGTTTCTAGCATTTCTTGCTGTGGTTGCCACTGGAAAAACAGCCTTCCTTTTCCTGTCATCTTACGTGTATATTCTTACCAGCTATTAACGAATATGCCCAAAAGACAAATATAGCTGTAATTAGCAACCCCCGCTAGTCATGACGAGACTTGCTGTGTGTTGCACACCTGATCCACAAAGACACAGCTCTGTGTTTTACACCTCCTCTCCGGAGACACCCACACGTCCCAAACGAAAACACAAAGCAGGATCTCTGGAGGGCTTGGCAGACAAACTGCCGGAGATCCTGAATTCCTCAGAAGCGATACCGTAATCCCAACAAAAAACACACCTCCAGCTCCTTCCTGCTCACTGCCTCGTGCCATCCCACAGGAGACAGTCATTTGCTTCAGCAAAGTGSAATAGTTCATTAGAAACTGATTTCTTTTAATGGCTGGAGGCCATAATATCTGGTCACTCTTTTTCCTGCTTCTTGGCAGAAGCTGGCTGGTTGCCCATGTCTTCATAGGTGTCAGCTATAGACAAAAGCCATCTTGGCACTAGAAGACCCCTTGTTTTGTGGATGGGGTTAAAAAGTAGTGTGGATATAATTTACCATGCCTGACCACTGACAGCAAGCCCAAGGGCAGCCTGGCACATCTTGGTAGATATCCTGGCATATCTTGCCTTCAGCTGAGTAATTACCTTTGGCCCTACTGCCAGAAACCTCCTTCATCTCCCTCCCCCCATGCCTGTGTTCACTCCTGTGTTATAAATTTAAAGTAACTGTTTTAAGTTTTAATTCCAGAGGAGGAAAAAGAAAAACCACAAACAAACAAACAAACAAACAAACAAATAAAACCAGTAGAAATAATACAGCCAATGTATGGCAGTGTACGTGAATAGGAGGATGAATACCAAAATTTAACCTTTTGGATATTGCAGTTTGGGAGTGAAGTCTCCCCTGGAGTTCTAATCTAGCCATGTTTAGCAMTTTGAAATGGCTTTTTCCAGTTAAAATAAGTATTTCACATATGCTTGACATATTGCTGCATATAATGATGGAATGCAGGGRGAACAAAGTGTGTTTACATACAAAACATACCCCACATGCATATTTATACTAAGAGAGAGAAAAATATTTTATTTATGTATGTATAGCTTGACACTTTCAACATTTTATGTAAATAAATGCCAAATGAAGAAGATTGTACCGTCCATTGGTGGCCTACACTTCTTCATTTCCATTTTTGAAATCTGGCTGTGTTTRCATACAAGTACCTTAAACAGCAAACATCTGGGTGGCTTGAAAGCAACTGAATCGTGTTTTTGCTGTGAAACACACTCTTACTGTAAAGTTACAGATTCAAGATTTACTGCTGACATTTTTGGTTCTGAGCAGCCTCAGACCAGGTTTATAATAAATGTGATAGTTTATCAGTACCAGTGGGGACACAACCTTAATAATACTAATATCTAGGGTCTAACAAACTCTTTTATAATTAGGGTACAGTTTAACATACATATGTATTAACTTTTCCAGGCAACTGCACTGCCATAGACAAAACCTTCATCCAGTTTTATGTTTAACACTTTGTACAATCGAATTACTATTTTCCATCTCTTACCTCCCAATTTAGGACAATTTATCTCAGATTCTCTTTTGTTTCAAGGTTTCAAAGTGCAATTTCCTGCACAAACAAATGTACTCATRATTCAGGTTGTCCACCCACCCACCCAGTTACCTGTCTCAGCTAGCCCAATTGCTGGAAGGAACATATAAAGCAAGTTCACAGCTTGATGCTGGAGTGATATCATCTTTGCTTAATCTGCTTAGTGTTTAAAAATGTAGATGTTAGCAGCTATCTCAGTACTAGAGCACTGCTCTCATGTAAGTTAYATGCTCAAATGTGGCACAAAGCAGTAATTGTACTCTTCTGGGAGGCTAGAAGTCTTACAGTGTCTGAGAAATGGAAAATACAAAGAATAGTTTACATCTGCTAGGGCCAAAGTGTTGCAACGGTATCTCAAACATTTTCAATTGGAAACTCTGAAATCCCTAGGGCATATTATGTGCTGTAACAATATAATTAAATAAGTTGCATCATGCAATAAAGACCAATTTGTGCCGCCTTTTCCTGTCTCTTTTTTCACCTTAGAAAGAAATCCAGTACATGAATATGTAAGCTCTTTTTCAAAATTAWTYATTTTAAGAAACTAAATAAATTAGCACATGTGTTTGTAACATTGATTTCAGCCTTTCTTTTTCCCGACTGTTTTAATAACTTTTCAGATATCAGGGTTGGGTCATTCCGTGGGTTTAACTCCTTAAGTCTGGAGTTTTCTTAACAAGAGCAAAAAGCAGCTGCTGCTTCCTGAAGAAGGGAAAGCAGCTCTGGGCTTTTCTCGATGCATCTGCAGGAGCCAGCGAGGCAAGTGCAGCCCTGGGTCTGAGTGCCCACACTGCTTGCCACTGGCTCRTTCCCTGGCTCTGCTTTGGTGCCCCATAGGGATCTTTCCCAGACAAACCCCATGTAGTGTGGTCAGGCAGTAAGGGGTGTGGGCACAAGCCAGGCTACAGATCCCCAGCCCTCCTTGGTTTAACGAGCAGGATGCAGCCCTCAGCTCCTCCGCGGGAGGATTTCTCAGCAAGGCAAGAAGCGTCAGGATTCTGACTTGGTTCYTCATCTTTCACAGGTTTTTGTAAATATGGCAGGATTGGATTCCCTGCTGCCATCATCTTCTCCAAGAGAGGGAAGACGTGCAGTAGGGGTGTGTGGAGTCTGTGTGTGTGCACYGCTGCACGTGCACATCTCCCTCTCTCTCTGTTCAGACCTCCGGGCATCACTCCCATSTAACCTTTGTTCTGCTCGGGAGCCCTTCTGTTCTTATTTTGGCAACACGCACACATATTTACTCATGTTCATAAACAATCACCAATTCTGTCTTTTCAGGTAAAATATCAAGAGASCATGGCTCACCTGGGTGAACGCAGATGGACTCACGTGTTCCCTTTCCTGGTGGTAGGTATTTCTGTATGTGCATGTGTGTAAAGATAACAGGGTTCTGCTTGGGTTATTCACAACCAGCTSTGAATTATGGCAGAACCACACACGGCCTAGGGACTAAACCTCAATGCAGTGATCCGTTTTCATTCCATGAAACACCTGAGAATGTGCTGTTTAAACTGTGGCTGCTAGGGAGGAAGGGGAAGGAGAAGGGCCCAGAATGGAGCAGAGACAGAATGTGCTGGAAGAGCAGATGAGCCGGGTGTCACATGAAGCACAGCCCTATTGTGGCTGAGGCCCGGGGCAGTGCTTTATCTTGGGTTGCTCAGTTGTCCCTTGCAGTCACATTTATAAAGGTTCCTTAGGGCTGGGAGTGGTGAGGGTGTGAACTTGAGTGTCTGTTTGTGCAGGAGAGCCTGTGAGTTACAGCCTGCTGTGTTTCAAGGAGTGGCTGTGCCAAAAGCATGGGTGTCAGTCTCTGAGAAACACTTGGAAGGACCAGGGTGCTGAAAGCTGCGCCTGCTTCCATCCCAAATAGTGTCACTGCTTCTGCTTGTGAGCTTTAGGGCTGTTTGACACCGCAGGGTGGCCCTGCTGCCTGTTGGGYCACAGCAGCTGGGCAAGGGGAGGGGGTGAGGCACGGAGGGTGAAGGCAGTGACAGTGACAGTGCTCTGGAATCTCTCTGGTGACAGGTGTCCCTGGTGTACTCTGCCAGTGCCGAATATTCCAACTGCGGTGAGAACGAGTACTACAACCAGACCACGGGCATGTGCCAGGACTGCCCCAAGTGCGAGCCGGGTGAAGAGCCTTACATGGTAATTTCAGCTTCTTCTGAGGGTGGGGGGCACATATCCAGCACCAAATGCAAAAAAACAAATGCTTTGTTACGTGGCAGTAATGGATGGAAAGGAAATGGGGAAGGCTTCGAATGCCTGAGCCCTCACACCTCCAAATGTGCCCTGAGAGCGAGGCAATCCACATCCCAGGAGCAGCCTGGTGAAAGGGTAAAAATGTTCCATACACAGTCCCTGCCAGTCCGTTCTCATCTCAATATTCAGAATCTGATGCTGACATTCCAGCACACAGTGATAATTTGGTCAGCCTGGCCCCCCACACCGACAAGTTCCTTTTGCTCTCCTGCTAAGATATTTTGGCWCTAGAGGAACTTGGATGTTTCTGCAACATTTTAAATTATGGTTCCTAAGTWACCATTTGATTTACAGCAGATAATTGTTGCTTATTAAAAAAAAAAATAAATTACTGAAATCCTGTTTGGTTTTAATGGGATAAACATCCTATTGCAAGCATTTCACGCAGTTGGTAGTCCTGAATAAATATGTTTGGATAATAACCAGTTTGGTTTAGTTTTATTTAATCTAACTGTAATGTTCAGCTGGGACATGTGAGTTCAGAGGTTACAAAATCTCATCCAAACATTGCTTTTTGGGCTGTTCCCTGTGGACTCTCCCAGCATGAAAGCTGCTGAGAGCTTTGCTGCAGCTGCGTTTCTCCTGCAGGAATCTTCTCCACACTTCCAGTTCACTTTCTATCTAAGCAGCAGCTGAAATTCACTTCCACAGTTCGGTCTGCTATGATAGCAGCAGTATGGGGGCCACTTACAAGGACTGTGATGCTTCAGCCCCTTCTCCCTCTCCAGCACACAGCTTGCTGCATCCCTCTATCCCTGCATGGCCTTCCTGGACAGACACCGACAGGCCCAATGACAGAATTATGTCCCTTCTGCCCTTCGTGCTGCAGATCCTGCTGTGAGCATTCCCTTCTCTGGTGTGCAGCACAAATCTGCATTTCAGTGGCTGTGTGTTGTTGCAGACATGTGGATATGGCACCAAAGATGAGGACTACGGCTGCGTCCCCTGCCCTTCAGAGAAGTTTTCCAAAGGAGGTTATCAGATATGCAGACGGCACAAGGACTGCGAGGGGTTCTTTCGAGCCACGGTCATGACCCCTGGGGATCAGGAGAACGATGCAGAGTGTGGTCCTTGTCTCCCAGGGTAAGGATTTATCCATGGACTTTCGCTCTACCCAAGGCACTGCCAAGTACTTTTTTAATGTCAAAATCACTTCATGTCAAAGCTGACTGGAGCTACAATACTGGTAAATTATGCTTTTTAATCTCTGCTAAAACAATCCATTTAAATGTTTCAAAAGCATTGGTGAGTTTAATAAATCATAGAACCATAAAATAGTTAGGCTTGGAAGGGACCCTAAAGAAGATGTTTTTAATCTTACTGAAGTATCGCTGAAGAAATAGATGTTTGGAACAATTAAAAACTTTTTCTCTTACTAGAAATGGAAAGGGAAAAAGCACAGGTGCGCAGTGCCATTTTAAATACTCAAAAAAATCCAGCTTGGCCTCCAGCTGTAGCTTCAGAGAGCCACCTTCTAAGTCCTGCATCCTACAAATGAGCTGCATGAAAGCACCTTGAATACCCTGCAGAGCCTATGCTGGTACCAGAGCATGTTCAGGAGCATAAAATATCTCCTCTCCAGATGTGAACAGCTGGCAGTTTGTCAGCAGTTGACAGCATTAGGTAACATAGCAGTTCAGTGAGATTTACCAAAGCATTTCACTCTCTCAGGGTCCTCTCTACACAACAGAAAGGAGTGTAAGGAGCTGTTAGTGTGGTGTGTGCAGTGTTCACAGTCAAAAAAGGTTTCAGGACTGGCTGAAGGCATCTAAAATACATGCTGATTATTGAGTTCATCTTTGTAATGGTCTCTTATACTCAGTATAATTCTAATAGTAATGGTGCAAAAGAAATTGCTACATTGGAAATGTCTATCCTCGACAATATTGCACCTGAAGGTCTGCAAACCCAAGCAGATATTTGCACTCTCAACATATTTTTGTAGGGTGAGCAAATACTCTGCAATACAACCTCACCTCACATACCTTTTCAGTTTCTGCCACTGTGTCTCTTTGGTTTAGAGAGCAATTTCTAGTGACTTTTKGCTTTTGTGCAGTTTGCAGATGTTGTATAACCCACCCTCCCTATAGCATGGGAAGCCCTGTGAAAGAGGYCCTGCAAGCTTCCAGGTTTATTTTATCAGTGAGTCTGTGTGAAATTTTCACAGTTTACAAATAAAATGAAGGACTTGTGTAGCTGCCAGCCAGACTGATGATGTGATTTGAAAAAAAGCTCCCTCTTGACTTCCCCTCATACATCATSAAGAGCAAGAAACTTAAATAGTGGTCACAGTTGCTGTTTTGCAATTTCTGTCGGGACTAATGAGGTCACCCAGGCAGGAGCAGGGTGCTGGCTGAAAATAATCAGCTTGCACAGCTGGTGCTTGGGGAGAAATCTCAAAACATCGTGTTTGCACAGGTGTAGCCTGTAGCAGAAACTGCTCTGCTGGAATCTGGCTGAGTGCTGCTGTGTCTGCAACGCTCAGGTCCTGGGATTGTTTGGCAAAGCCAACAGTTCGGGAGAAACACCCTCCCAGTCCAAGCTTCAATAGATGGAATTCTCTAGATAAACTAAATATGAGCTAAAACAAGCTCTGAAGCTGCCCTGGCTCCTCGTGCTATGTAGAGCCCTCAGAGTTTGCTGCTGTGTGCTGGTGGGGGAATGCAGAGCCTGTGTGTAGAGCAGAGAGCTGGTGAGCAGCTCATTGTTCCCATTGTCCCCATTGTTCCCATTGTCCCCATTGTCCCCCAGGCACCAGGGGGAGTGACACATGGCAAGTGCTCCCTTGCCTAGGCAGTAAATCTCAGGGAGCCCCTGAGTCGTTGTGAGGGATAAAAACAAGGTTTCCATTTTCAGACGACTGCTTCCCTAACACTGCAGACCTTCCCAAGGTACCAGCTGAGGTGCTGCTGTCGGCACTGAAGGACATCTCATCCCTTTGCTACTTTTCAGCAGCTCAGTAAAGCAGCCTGAGGAAAAGATGAGCATTTGGCACATTCRGTGCAAAAGTTTTCAGACAAAATACCACTGAACTGGCAGCCTTTTCCAGTGGCTAAAGTGCCATCCTCTATACTTTACCTTAAAATAAGTACTGGATAATTATATATGTTTTCTTCTACTTTCTTTTTTTTCACCATTACTAATGACCACTTTTAGGGAAGGAGACTTTTGGTACAAGAGAAGAGGTCATCCACTGCTTCTTTGTGTTCCCTCCCATATAAAATAAAAATAACACTGTCAYGCTCACAAGCAGGATGCAAGACAGGGAAGATTTTAAAGGCTTAGTTCCAGAGCTGTAATCCTGAAAATCAAAATTTTCCAAAATTTTTTCACCTCCAGTGAACTCTGGAGGTACCTWGACTGAACCTCCTGRGACACTGCAGGCTTTGTGCTCTGCYCMCACCCAGAAGCTCTTCCATCATGCCAAATAGRACAGGTTCAGAATGTGGAAATCAGGAGTGACTCAGATCATTTCCCTCAATGGGGTGATCCATTAGGTGTTCCTGGAGTGTGACTGAGATCACAGCCAACTGCAAACAGCAATGGCAGAGCAAGGGTCCCTCTAGCCTGGTCACGTGTCCTCATTCAGTAGTGGCCATCAGGAGTAAGAACAGGTCAAGTATAAATAATACATATTCCTTATGCTGTTCCAGCACCTATTTTCAGCTTGGGGTAAGTTCTCAATTCCCTTACAAGACAGAATTGCAAGGGATTCATTTCCTTTTTAAATGCATTCAGAAATGCCTCCGCTGCTGACGCTTCCCCATTTCATGTGTTTCTCCATGCTACAGCAAATACAGGATCAGTTCTCTTTTCTCAGAGGTTTTAAGAGAAGGAATGAGTGCATCTCTGCTTTCTGCATGAAAACGTTTAGCCAGTGAATTTCTAATGAAATTAAGTCCCACCCCTGCTGTTCTGAATAAGGCAGCAGATGCCTCCACCAAGGATGCTCATCATCAGCAGAGAACAGCACCCATCCCTCTCCACCTCCTGCCCCAATCCCATGTTCCCTGTTCCAGAGGGAGGGCAGACCTAAACCCAGGTCCAAGTCCCTGAGTCTGGCATGTCACTACCAAGGTTAGCCCAGGATAAGGGACTATGGTGTTGAGCAGRAAAACAATTTCCATTTTTCAGTCTAGCCTTTATTCTTGGATTTTGCCTGTAGCCCYTCCAAACCTGAGCCTGGCAGGTACCAAGGAAAGAAAGAATAAATCTTATAGTGGAAGAGTTTCACATAACACTGTGAAAATTAATTTTTTCATTATTGGGTTACTTCTCCATAGTTGATATAAAATATTCACTAATTTCCAACATTACCTTTAATATCTGGTGCATTGGAAAGTAACCAGAAACACCAATTTGTTGCCAGCACTTCATGGGGGGTAAATTAATAATGTTTGCAGCTGCAGAGCTTCCCACTCACATGAGTGAATGGTTGCCTGCCATGAGCATCCTCTTCAGTTTTCTTTACATGCYCTCCACCATTCTGCATTGTGGTGAAAACCATGAATTATTGCACCAGCTTGATTTAATTAAGGGTCAGAAGGATTGTTTGTCTTTCCTAAACCAACACAGCTATTAGACTGCACATCCTAACTGTCCTGTATTTTAGTTCATAGATTTATATTTGTCTTTGGCCTTCCAATCTTTTGTTTTGGGGTTTGGCAGTCTTCTCTGGTGTATTTATTAACTGCTTTACAACCTAAAACTATGTAAGACCCCATAAGAGAGGAAAGATGAAGTTTTGCTCTTGAGAGAGTGGTAGAGGGGCAGATGGGGCTCAAGAGATATTTGTAGGAAAGAGTGAGGGTGAATCTTTTAAGGAAATGAGGAATGATGTGTAGTTCCCCTACTGTCTGAGTTTCCTCCTGTCCCTCTCTCCCCCTTGCATCCCTGTGTAATCCATTTCCTGGATCTGYATTCCTTATCTGTCATTCATTAATACACCAACTGATTTTGATGGACTGTTCCAGCAGYGATTTCCTAATAATGCATACATTTTCCAGGAAAAAAAAATCCCAACCATACTGCACATGCATAGACGGGTACATAAGAGCAGGGAAACAGATTCCCTGTTGCATAAAATGCTCGTAGAGTTGAGTTCCTGTCCAAGATGAATGGATTATGAATTTATTCATCTCTTCATTAAAATATGTAGTGATTYACAAGTGATTTGTAAAGACTTATCCGTAACATCAACAGTGTGATGTTACATCAACATATGTATGATTCTGATGTAATTGCTCATTAGGGTGCATGTGGATCCAACTCTTGAGTAGCCAATTACCTTATTTCAACACTAACTTTATTAGCAGCCCAGGAATTCAAATTATGAAAACCTTTTCTTCACACTGTAATTCCACTATCAAGGACTAGTTTRTAAACAATACAGCAAGGAAATAGAAAACTCAAACCACACCTGTAAAATCTAATCTGCCTTGCCCTGTAAGGGTGATGTTTTCCTGTATTTTTTATTATGATCAGGCTCGGATTTGGTTCTAAGATTACAGAGATTTTTCTTATGGCATTTGTGAATAAAATTAGCCAACCATATCCAACTGGTGGTCTTGCTTGAAAGACTGCTGCTTCAAAAAACAGCATTCTCTTATTTTGAAAAATCTTATTTCAGAGCATGCTGTAAACTGCAGCTTGAACTCAGCAGGGAGACTAATGTTGWTTTAGGCAATATTGCCACGTCTTGTCATGTCTAGGTGTTTGATTAATTACCTTTTAGCAGGAAAGGAAGAAGAGAAACTCAGTCTCTATTCAGGCAATTGGGAAAAAAAAAAAAAGAAATAATAATCTTTGCTTCAAATTACTTATAAAAGTTTTTTTTAAATGATTTTATCTCTGTATAATTGGTTGCTGCTGAACCATGTTCAGTCATATCATATTAATTTGCACTGTTTTGCCTCATCTTGCCCTTCATTGCAGTTACTACATGCTGGAAAACAGACCTCGGAACATCTACGGGATGGTTTGCTACTCGTGCTTGCTGGCACCTCCCAACACCAAGGAATGTAAGTGTTCCGACATTTCTATGTRTTTCATCTGGTTTTGCCTTAAAATCATCTGGAAGCTCAATGGGAAATCTTTCAGCAATGGTAATTATGTTCAAACAATAAACCCAGCTCCAGTTAAGCAATTTCTGCTTCCAACTTACCTTGCCAACAAAGGGATGGAATGCTTATCGTTTGAGGAAAGATCAGAATCTTTGATTTTAGGATCTGCTATCACTCATTTGTTCCCCAGTTTTCATCTGTTAAGACATCCCATGTAGGATTTATTAGGGTTACTTAACCAATAKGTCCAGGAAATCCAATCTCTGTGTATTTTTTTTTWAATTRAGTTCAGTTTACCTGTGAARAATGGGACAATTTGTAGATGGAGTAAAAGTCCATCACAGTTTTCCTTAYCCTTTGGCTTCAGAGTGATTCAAGGGTTGACATTGCTGTGTTATGGTCAGCACTGATAAGAGAAGTAATTCTGTAGATTTCATTGACAACAGAGCCTGCAGTTTGTTAAYTGAAAAAATCCTTATGAATGTGTGTGTGACACCCCAGAAGCACTGTTCCTTTGCATACCATGTACATGCAATATCTTATCCATCCTCATACCTTGGGGAGGAGGGACAGCTCACACCAACACTGGACTGCAGACGCAATCCCCAGAAACTGCTTTCTTCTTTAGGGGGCAAAAAAAAGTGAGAAAAAGGAAAAATGAGCCTCTCTCTAAGTGACCAAATTACTTTGACACTCCCTTGGAGAAGATCGGGACAAAAAGCTTTAAAACAAACAAAAAAAACCAAACAAACAAAAAAAAAAACCCCAAAAAACCCAAACCCCCCCTAAACAACCAGATAAAAATGAGCAGTTTCCCAGCAAAACCTGATGAATCTAGAACCAAAATCCTGTCCATGCTCTGATCCTTTGTAAGTCTTTATCGTGAAAAGGAATTGCAATATTTTGTCTGCTTGATTTGAGAGCAGGGGCTGCAAGTCCCAGAGCATTTATTTGTGCACATAAAYAGCAGTTGGTTTGTTCAGATGTTGCTGAGCTGTGTGTCACTGCTGCTCTGGGAGTCTCTGCAARGGAGGGTAGGACAGGAGCAGCCACTGCCTTTCCTACAGTGAAAGGGCTCAGAGGAGCCAGGGGATCATCACCAYSRCACAGAGCTCCTGGTGAGTGGCAGMAWTCCTGRAGGAGGCATCTCCCTGAGCTGTCCCCATGCCCAGTGACCMGTCTGGGGTACAGCTGCCCATCCCACTGGGCTGCAGAAACCCACCCAGCCCCGGGATTGCCCTTATGCCAGAGCCAGAGTGGGTGAGGGCAGGCTGAGTGTGCTTTTGGTGAGATAACATCAGTGTTAGAGGTGAGGGAAGGGTGCCTGGGAGGACCCAAATGTGAGATACGGGAAGAAGGTGGAGAGGTGAGTGAAAACACAAGGGTAGGAATGYCGTGGTTTAACCCCAGCCCCAGGCAGCCRCTCACTCACTCCCCCCACACTGGGGTGGGATCARAACCAGGAGAGTAAAAGKGAGATAACTCSTGGGTTGAGATAAAGACAGTTAAACTGGTAAAGGAAATTAAATTAACACACACCAGCAATGCAGAGCAATGAATCCATTCCACACTTCCCATGGGCAGCCAGCTGGCTGAAGTGGGTTTTTAGTGGTATCAGACATGTTATAACTTACTGATTTGGAAAGAAACTACCAGAACTTATGGCTATTGCTCAACTGAAAAAAAATAAATCTTTGCCCTTTTATAGGATACCTGGCAGATGCAATRTGTAATGTGCTTCTGTAAGGAAAAYATGAGCAGCCCAGCTAATTAACTACATGCAATTTTTAGCTTGATAAACACAAGAATAAATATAAATTATCTTTATGAGGAATTTAGACAGGTGCATAAACCAACAAATTGACTGGGTACTAGCATAAAAGAAAACATTAGTCCYAAAAAGACTAAATATTACCATTTTAATCAAGTCCATAAAAACAACTATTTGATTACAAGTGTTCAAAAAGCAAGAAAGTGTCTTAAAACCCAAGTCCCTCAAACCACTAAGCTCAGATAATTTAGTTTATGATGTCTAAACCTCTGGACTCCATTTGGAATGGCTGTGCCCTATTCACAGGAATTAATTTGTAGCCCAGATGGAAAATCAGGTTTGCTGCAGGAATCCCTTGGAAGGCTTCCTGTTGCTGTGGAAGGCAGTGTAAAATCTGGTATTAGCAGATGATCTTTTTCCCACATTTCACTGACATCAGAATATACCAGTCTGAGCAAAGAAGAGATGACGCGTCAGTGCTGCACAACTGTGGAATTTTTTGAGGTTTGCAAACTCCAAACTCATCTTATGTGCTGCACTCTGAGCACGTGACATCAACATGTGCCTGTTCTGTCACAAGAAGGATGACAACAGTTTTTTGGTAGTAATGGTTCCTTTGTTCTGAATCTTCTGTTGCTTTGTTKAGAATTCAGAATAGCAATGAGCAGCATTCAGGAGCCTGAACCCCACACTAAAGKGTTGCCTCTCCCCCAGAGCTCCTCTTTTTCAAACTCTCCTGCRTGCAGCACTGGAGAAAAGTGATCCAGCAACTCACAAGGAAACAAGAATGGCAAATTACTTAAAAATAGGAAGCTCAGGGGGACAAGCTCTGGGTTTACACTTCTAGACAGAAAAATGAGAGTAGATAAATCCTATTTGGGGCCTTCATTAGGGCTGAGAGAACAGTGGTGCTCTCCTTAGCTGGAAACATTCCTTGCTGGGGAAGTGCTTGGACTATGTGTTATAGATGGCCAAGTCCAGGGGTGTGTGCCCTTGCATGGAAACTTGCTCAGGGAATTTGCCTGATGACACATTTCATCTTACAGAAAAGTATTTGGGTTTGATCAAAGGGTAAGGAAATATCTTTCAGCTCATATGCAGTCAATAAAACTTGAAATGGCCAAGGACACAAGATGAACACCCCGTGCCCCGGCATCTGGAAATATTACTTTAAAAATGACTGGAAGAGAGAAAAAAATTCCTTGATAGGCCTGTGTCACCTTGTTGTGGGGGTTTTTTTCCCTCTTGAAGGACTTGAGACATAAATAGCACAAAATAGCATGGAAAAGAGGGGGAGGAAAGGAGGTTCTTCACAGAGGCCAGAGGTTTAATTGAGGCAAAGACATCACCAGGTTATGGTGTTGGAAATCTCACTGGACTAAAGGACTGGAGCCTGGGAAGAATAACAGGCTTCAGTGTCAGCCTGTGGGCAGTGGGGAGGAAAGGGCTTTGCACACGTGAGCATAAGAGTGTGTGTTGAGTAGCATGAAAGCTTTTTTTACTGTGAAAATTATAAATATCACCATAAAGACTCCAGCTTCCCCTCTCTTGTGCCCTGTGAACACCTATGTGAGATTTCTGGCCGCTCAGCATTCAGCTCCCTCGAGTGTCCTGTGCAGGAGCTGCAGTGCTGAGCACAGAGGAGCACAGTGTGAAACACTACAGGTGTCAAACACCACAGGTGTGAAAAACCACAGGTGTGACAGCTTCAGCTGTGCTTGAGGCAGGTGCTGACACAAAATGGGGACACGACACCTCTGTGATAAAAAACAGCGCTGCAAGAGGGAGGGGAGGCAGGTTTCCCATGTAAGCAAAGCATTAAGCTAATGAACACCAAACCACTCTAAGATGTGGCTTCCCACTGCTAATGGTGCTGGATTTTCTGTCAACACCCTGGAACTCGAGTCACTTCAGGCCTCTGTCTATGTAGGGTGTTTTTATTACTTTTTTTTTTTTGTTTTTGTTTTTGGTTTTTGGTGGGKTTTTTTTTGTTTTTTACATTTTTCTTCTATCCAGTGTAAAAGTATATGCAAAAGTGATAAGATTTAGCCATACCTGGAGTTTCTCTGGCAAAGAGGTAGAGTTACTGCTGGAAAAGATTATGTCTTTTAGCAGCTGAAACTATTTATGCACATTAACTCTCTCTTCAAATCTGGATATGTGCCTTTCCATTTCAAAGGTGTTGGAGAAAAACAAAATCAAACCCTGATACAATAACTGTAGCATTTACTTTGAAATTGGATTTACACAATTTCATCACATTTGTAAATCCTTTTCCACTCACAGATTACTGATCTAGGGAACTTCAGCAACTGATCGAGGGTTTTCTTTTTAATCTACTGAATATATTCATAAGTGTGTTTGGGCATAAGATACATCATGTTGTTTTATTTCACTTTTTTTTGCTGGTTTTAGATATGAAAACAGCCTGTGTAAGTTTTTAGGTCTTATACTTACCAATCATAACTTAGGAGATCAAAGAAAAAAGGAGAAAAAAGCAATAAAGGAAAACATTTTTAGGCAAGCTGGTTTTTAAATACCAGAGAGCAAATGACATCTAGAAATAGGAAAGATCATTTTTATTGTTGTATGAGACAGAACAATTGACTGAGAAATTATAGCTTCGTGTGATGAGCTGTAATCAGGGGGGCACATCCGTGCCCATGTCTTGAAGATCAGAACTCAGCCTCCTTAATTGAAGGGCCTAACACAAACAAGCCTCATGCCAAAACCACTGTATTAGTTAAAATAATTCTTTCAGAGATTCTTTTTTTTAACTCTCCATTCTTAGTAATATCACTCATTTCCGTTCCTTGCCAGTTTTGTCCTTTTTTAATACAATCAGCATCAGGACTTTTTTCCTTCTGTTTCAAATTATGCCTACGAATGAATAGGCTTGTTATCTGGAACTAACAAACTTCTTCTCTTTTTTTTTTGTGTTGTTTGATCTCTGAACACCCTTTCCCTCTTCACGTATGTAGTGGGAGCCTTACATCAGCCATTCCAACAGGTTGGCCACCAGAACATTGGGGAAATGGGAGATCAGCTCCAGGCAGGTCTTTTCTCTTCCTTATGATGCTCTGACATCATGATAGCAAAATTTAAATAGCAATTATCCCCTTCATGTTGCACAGAGAAAAGGGTGATAACACTCAGCTCCCGGACAGAGGCTTAGAGTGCGTGTCTATGACTTTGCAGTGCTGTGCGATGATTACAGGTCCCAGTGAGTCCTAAACAAAACTTCAACAGATGCAAACAAATTGCCAGACTAAGCCTACGTGGCCTATAATTATCTTCACTTCCCTGCCCAGCCAAAACAAAAAGAAAGAAAATAGTTGTGGACATTACAGAGAGCACAGCAGCACAAAAATATTTCCTTTTATCTGATATGATTACTTACAGAGAGATTGACCAGGTTGAAAATAAACACAAAAATATTTCCTTTTATGTGATATGGTTACTTACAGAGAGATTGACCACATTGAAAACAAAAGTCTGGGGGAACTTTCCTATCATTATTTTTAGTTGTACAGTTCTCAGGAATTAATTTACTTCATGTTCTTCCTGGTGTAGTAACTACCTAAATAAACTGAAGTATCTACCAGTGGGTCCAGGAAATATCAGAATAATTTATAGTATTCTGTAAAATAAAGGTCAGTCAGGCCATCCTCCATAGCCTAGGATATTATCAGTGATTTTCAATATTATGTTTGGCTACTGAAGTCATATGTAGGCACCTCAGAAAACGGTTGGCTTTGGCAGCTGCTTTAGCTTCCATGACTTTCCAAGTGCACAGGCATTCCATGTGAAATGTTGTTTCCTTAAGTTTGAAAACAAACCTTTCATGTAAGTACAGATGCAGATTTCTAATATTTAAAAGTTCTGACCTCTGCTTTCTACAGATCTAGGTCTTTATTTATGAACTAGGTTTAGTTAAAATGCAGCTTCAACTTTGTCAGCCATAAACTGTCTACCTTGATCGAATTTTAACTCAGTAGAATTTTTCATCTCATGTCTCATATTTCATACTAAGTAACTATAAGCTGATAGTTACTTACTTGCATGTGTGCTTTATCCTACTTCAGCCCATAAAGGAGTCTCAGTGACCGCACTTGCAGCTCATCTGTGCCATTCATAGCTGGGCTGTGGCTGGGAGAGGAAGGATGCATCAGGAGAGAGCAAGCTGCATCCTAGAGCAAGAAGTAGATACACATATACGCAACAGTTTTTTTAAATGTGTCTTGTTTTATGATCACTCTGATAGTCTGTTGTGTACACACTTTGGGGATTTTTATAACATTTTATTAAGTATTTAATAGACTCAAAAAAATCTGTTGCTAGTTGTGAGCAGCAGTCCTTTGCATGGAGCAGGAAGTTGATACCCACAGCAACGTGTCAGGGGCACATATGGTCTCCTACTGCACCAGATTTTATTCAGTCACAAACATTTGCAAGGGGTCATGGTGGTAAAACCTCCTCTCCGTGTGCCCTCCTCCTCCTTCTCTCACAAATCTGGTCGTTTTGTTTGACACTTCTCATCGGAAGTTCTGTCTCAAGATACAAGAACAACTGTAATAGTCTGTCACGTAAAAGAGAAAGGTTCATTGAAACAACAATAAAAAAGTATTTTATTTATTTTGTGAAAGGACAAAAGGCAGCCGCATGGTAATTTAAGTTAAAACTATCTTTTGATTTAAAATCCCCAAATATTCAAATGTGGATACACATTCAATTGTTCTTTTAAACAATAAGTATGGAGGATTTTTTTTATTGAAACTGCATTTAGACTCCAAGAAAGTTACAATTAAATGACAATTTTTTTGAATAAAACATTTATAACGCAAAAGTTGACTGACCATCCATGATAAACTTCCTTTTTTAATGTCTTTATCACATTCCTACAGTATTACATACAGGTGTTTAGGAATATAAACCACTCTTTTGTGCAGCCATATTAAAACCCTTGGTCTGTTTTTTTAAAAAATAGAGTTGTTTCCATATGTTGTGCTGTAACACCTTAGGATGTCTCTGCCTGAGCTATATCTAAGTCTTTATAGTTTATGTGTCATCTATATTGGAAACAGAGTTAATAATGTGATTGGGATGCAAAACTGGATGTGCACAGGAACAGCTGCTGTTACAGTCATGGTGCGGTGCTGACCGGGAAAAAGCAGCAGCTATGAGTTGTTTCTTTTTGCTCATACAAAAGTGATACAAACAGAAATTCCAAAGAAGCTGGCATTTTGGTTCCTCTTGTAGGGCAGGTGCACGAATTGGCGCTTTCTCCTAAGCCACATCTAAGAAAAAGTCTTGGCTCATAATGGATACATAAAATTATTAAATTTGACGGTAGATTTCAAATGCGCGTAACGCCTGACTCCCACCCAGGCGTGTGCGAGAGGCCACCGCGTTCATTCTGTCAGGGCAGCGCTACAGAACAAACGAGGTGGCTCCGTTCCCAGGCCAAGGACAATCTGCACGTAGGCTCTGGGCTGAGGGTCTCATGGTGTGCCCAGCACAGGGGTGGCTGTGTGCCCATGGGTGTGTGCCGGGCTCTGCAGTGGGGCACTGGGTGAAGTGTGATGACGATGATGGAGAGCGGTGACCTTCCTCCTTACCCTTCCTGTGCTGCTTCCTGCTGCCTGATTTCCCACTTTGAAAGGCTCTGCTTCCTTTCACAGACAGGTGAAAAACACAAGGTTAGCAATACCAGGCGACTGACAGATTATTAGGCAGAAAAACTCGAATGACTTCACGCTTCAAGTGAAGGCAAAGAGAGGCGAGTTGGCTAAAAATCTCACTTGTGGAGGAGATGAGCTGAAGCTTGTTAGCTCAACTCAGGCAGACAAAGCAGCACGGCTTGCCTGCATTTGCTGAGAGGCAGAGAAAGAGCAGCCACTGCTGACTTGTTGCAGCTTGCAAGGACTGCACAGAATTCCAATTGGCTGTAATTGGATTTGCCAGGGGGGCTGCAAGAATAGGCATAAACCGGGTGGCTGTGCATGAACATGAGGGAAAGTATCAGGCTACAGCACTGGCCATTTACTGAATTTCCTCTGTTGTCCTGCCACAGTGAGTAAACACACAGGTCATGACCAAGGATGATTCACTTCAGTTTTGTGAAGAATTGCTGAAAATTTTACAAATTACCTGTCTTTAATATCCACTACATGCAGATGACATCTTCACTTACTGATCCCTAGATAGTCTACTTCTGCATTGCAGTTTCTGGTGCTCACAACTAATTCTTCTTAGAAGGAAACCTGCCACAGAGGAAGGACCAGAGGCAAGACTTATGTAATCTAGCCTTCATTTGCAAAATCTGGAAAGCATCTGAATTAATAAATTAGTATATTTAAAACTTTATGAAAACCTTTTTCAGTTTGAAAAAATACCAATTATAATGACTTGATCCATTTCCTTCCAACAAATGATGTTTGAAAGAAGTTTTATGATTTTGAAACTTTTAAAGTTTCAAGAACTCTGAAAGAAAGTTTTTCTTTCTTGATTGTTAAAAAAAATTCTTTTGAAGACATCTGCAACTCATACTTTGTGGGCTCTTGAAGTGTACATTTCCACTCACAACATGCAGATACATTTTATTTTAGGTAATACATTTTTTTCTTTAAAAAAAAAAATTACATTTAAAGAATGTGTAGATTGCTTTGTTCTTAGCACAGAACATTTCTCAGACCATTCCAGACCACTTGATTTCCTGTCAGGTTTACCTGGTGATTTGATTTTTTTGAATATTTGCTTGGTCCAAAGCACGGCGAGCTCTCGTCTACCCTAGCTGCCAAACCAGCTTGTGGAGCCATGAGCTGTGCACACCTTTCCAGATGACTGAGACAGCTTTTTGCCTTTAGGTCTGCTGAATTTAATTATCACTGGACCTTTTCCACAGACAGCTAATACAAAGTGGGAGGAATTTCATATCCTCCCCAAAAACAGAAAATGTTTTTTAGTGTCTGTTGAGAGGGGCTGTTTGCATTACCTGCTTACCAATGGCATTAAAGTTCATTTGAGAATGAAGATAAGGTTTACTCTCAACCCTAATGTTTTGTTCTGTTTTCAAATACTATCCAAACACCATCCATATAAAAGCATTCCTATCAACAGCTTTATTCCAAATAATGTGCAGCATCATTTGTTCTTGTCAAAATATGTTAATTTAGGACTTGGTTTAATGCTTTGAAAACTTGGTGTGTGACACCAAATGAAAGATTAACTTTTAACCTGAATTGTGGAATTTAGACCTGGAAACCCCTATTGGACAATCTCACCCCTCTGGCAGCATGAAGTTTTCCTCTAACTCCCTCATTTTCTGTTCCAGTGGATTTCCCTTTCCCCACAATATAGATTTGGACTATGATGGGAAATCATAAGAATCAACTGCCTAGTTATATTACAGGAAATTCTAATATTCCCTTTTATGACAGCATAGCTCCATCAACACGATTACTTGTCACCTTCCAGAGGTTTTTCTGTGGGATCATGAGTGTTTGCAGTCCACCATGGCTTTATGCTGATAGCAAAGGATGCATGTGAGAAACACTAGCTTGATGAATCTACCAGCTGAGTCTGAGAGTCAAATATTGGAGTGGGGGTTGTAAATGGTTTGAGCCATCAGCTGGATCCTGGAAATCTTTCTGCAACCCAAGACAGATCTGTAACATGGGAATCTGTGTGTAACAGTTGGCTTATTCTTCTGAGCTCATATCTGTTCAGGAATTTTACTCCCTCTCCCTCTGGACAGGATACAAAAACGTGCTCTGTAACCCAATTTTCAGCATACCAGTAACACAAATTGGGATTAGTAACATTTCAAAAAGTGAGTAGTTCATAGGTCCTTTGCTAATAAATGGGAATGCAACCAAGTCAAGTAAAAGCTCTCCTTCCTTGAGCCAACCTATTCCTTTGACTGGACTAAGCATGGAATTTTAATGGTATTTGTTTATATTGCAGGTGCAGGGGCTAACTCTGGCATTTCAGCCATTTTCCCAAGTACCTCTGGCACAAGCACTTTCTCACCTTACCAGCATGCTCACAAAGGTAAAGATGCACTCACAACGTTAATTTAGCAGCTCTTTGTTTTGAAAAGGGCATCAACAAAGTGCAACTAAACTGAAAACGTCTGTTGCAGTTTTCATTGTCAGTTTTCAGATTTCTAAAACTGCTATTAGAAATAATTCAGAATTCATTTTTGTTTCTCAGTTAATCAACGCTGCTGTTCCAGTCAGCTAAACGTAAAATGGATTTGAACTGTACTCAGTGATGCCAGCAATAAATTTAGCTCGTTATTTGTAGCTATACAAAAATAGCATTCTGCCTCAGCAAAGTTTAGCTTAGAAGGGTGAAAATAATTTCATGCACAAATATGGTCAGTCTCTCATTGAGCTAACATAAACAGTTCTCCAGCATGATTATTATGCTTTTAAAATTTTTGAACCTGAGAAAAAAAAACTGTAAAGGTGCAGTTAATGAGGTACGAACAATGCTGATCTTCATAGTATGGTCTGAAAAACATGATTGTGAAGATCAAGTTTTGAGAAAAATTAAAGTTTTAATGCATTTTAGCATATGTGTAATTTTCTGTATTCTTTCGTGGCTTTTCAATTCTAGCCTTTCCCATCCAAGTTTTCTTTCTGAATATCTTTTCACATAGCTTATTTTAAATTCACCTTCTAACCATGCTGCTTTTAAGTATCTGTTAGAAAAACATCTGTTATTCTATCTGTGCATTGTGTCCTCCTTTTAACTTGGAGCTTTAGAGGCAGCCACAGTTATCAACAGTCATTTTAGCTCTTATTCTCTTTATTTACCTCTTTCTTGTCTTTTCAATGCTGATTCCCAGAATGAAGTGCTACAACAGCTTCTACTCTTGCTTATGTACAGCTTCCCATATTAAAACACATTCTCCTACACCTTTGCATCTGACGGATCATACCATCAAATATTTTTAATGAATACTACTAACTAGTTCATGCATAAATACCAAAATTTTGAAAAACTGTTCATTAGCTTGCCTTTGAGATGCAATGCTAAGTTTTTCAATGCTTGACAAGTAACCCAGATTAATTAAAGGATTATGCAAACTATGTGTAGAGCAGACCGCAACCTACTAACTATTCTCTGTTCCTAAGAGTTGCTCCTTTATTTATTTTTTTTTTTTTATTCCAGCAGATCTTTCAGGACAAGGACATCTGGCTACAGCTCTTATAATTGCCATGTCTACCATTTTCATCATGGCTATTGCCATTGTCCTCATCATCATGTTTTACATTGTGAAAACAAAACCTTCTGCCCAAGGTAATTGTTCAGCAAGTGAAATTTTAGTTGCAAATGCTATATTTAGAGAGCTTCTGAGAATAATCAGTGTTATATTTATATATTCTAGCCTGTTGCAAGAGCCACTCAGTAAAAAATGTTGAAGCTCAGGCTAACACACAAGAAGAGAAGAAAGAAGTGCAAGGTACAAGTTGCTTTAACTTTGCTTTTTCTATCTAAGACAACACTGGGGTTAAATACTCTTAATACATTTATCTTAATTACAATTTCTCCTTTGGAGTGTATAAAACCCACATCAGTTTACTAAAGAGTTATCTGTAATAGTTTTCTGTGCTTCCAGAATGTCACTTAATCCTCTGATAGCAATTAAAAAGAGCAGCGAGATTTATTTTGGCAGTAAGGTTGCCAGCAGAAGTAGCCCCTGATACAAAACACTGGTTTGGAAACTTACTGCCAATTTCAACTTCTCTAATTGTTTTTCTACAGAAAATGTTGTGATATTCTCTGAGAAAGAAGAGTTTGAAAAACTTACAGCAACTCCAGCTAAGGCTGTCAAAAGGTGGGTAAAAGATAAATATATTGCCAGTTTCACTGAAATGGGGGAGGCACATGGTCATCATTCATCCTGGTCCAGTGGAACACACGAAGAACAAATTTGATGGGTATGCTGGCAAGTTGCTGCAGCAGGGCAAAGACCAGATGCCTCAGCAGGCTTTTCCCCCTCTGGTTTCAGAGGGGGAAATAATGACAGACATCATGAAAAGATGATGAAGAGAAACCTGTGTCCTCCCCATTCCCTCTGTGACAGTTCTTGAGGCATCATCTCATTTTTGGGAGGTTCATTTCTGGGATCTGAGTGCAGCTCTCGTTCACACAGCTTTAGTGAGGTTCCCCTTCCCTTCTAGACAGGAAGAGTAACAACAGCTTTTACAGACCTTAAGGAAATCCCTTGTCCACAGCATTCTCTGGATGGCACGATGTGATATTATTCCTCATCATGTCTCTTCCCAGCAGCCAAACCTGCCTGAGTAACATGATTAAGATGGGCTAAACACTGTCCTCAGTTGGAAAATCCCTCTATAAAAGGATTCTTGCAAGCTAAATGTGACTGTGTGATATTGCACTACATCCTGGGCTGGTGGAGGCTGTGACATTCATAAAATTTTGGAGGAAAGGCATTTTGAAAAATGGAAGACACTTTTATTCAATTACTCTCTGATAGCAAAAAGGAGATGAGTGGAGTCCACCCATGAGAGGCTTCACTAAGATAACCATATCCTTCATTTTACAGTGAGAATGATGCATCTTCTGAGAATGAACGACTTCTAAGCCGGAGTATGGATAGTGATGAAGAAGCTGCAGTGGACAAGCAAGGGACTCCAGAGAGATGCTTGTTATCATTAGTGCATTTGGCCAGAGATAAATCTTCTACAAGCAATAAATCAACTGGGGTAAGGCTACCTTGAGATTTTAAAATTGAGAGAATTTTTCTACTTTTTTTTTTTATGAAAAAAAAAGTTTTAAATGAGAAAAATGCATTTTAGTGTAGACCAGATTGATTTACAAGAGCTTCTCCAGACAAACTTCTTATAGAATCCCCTTTGCATAATGACATATATGGACATGTATAGTGTTCAGGGATGAAAATCAAATTTTCTACAGGACCAATTGCTTTTTTGAGCATTATATTTCATAGGCGAAAGAAAGAAAAACCCCAAATAATGGCAATCTCCTGTTACAACTAGTGTTCAGACAAAAAATATGTAAAATAATGTAGCAGCATGGCTGGATTCAGCAGCCAGCAGAGCATTTGAGCACCTTGACCCAGCTGCATTGGTATTTCCAAGTGAAGCAACATCCGGTGTTATGCTTGGTTTTCATGTGGAATTTTAAAAAACACACACATAGTTTGAAGGTCACCATTCAAACAGTGAAGGTCACCCTTTCACAGTGCCCTGAAGGACACTGTAWTCCACTGTTTTGCTGTGGAAAACCTTTGCTTCTTCCTGCTGAGCATGTACTGCTCAGGGCTTGTTATCTCTCTTGTAGTATTTTAAGGCACAGTTAAGGTCACACCTCACCCACACAACCTTTTAGTTTCTGTTAACATCAAGCTATCCTTGAAAAGAAGGTGTCTGCTCAGGTTTTTTTAGTATTTCAAATTTGGATATGGCAATAACTAGGTCAAAATCACATCATTGCTATCAAACATCTGATATTGCTTAAGAAAAAAATAGGTTTGAAAATGCGTCTCTTCATATTTGCATGTTTTAAATTGTTGGGATGGATCAGCTCAAATTTTCTAAAACAGATCATTTTTCAGCTGAGATCAGACACACAAAGTTTCAACACAAACTAAATGATTTTGTAGTTGTGGACATTTATGACCATCTGAAAATAACTTACTACTCCAATGCTCACATTTGAAAGTTCAGGTTTTTGGAGTTCTCTCTAAATATCCAACTTCATGATACTTCTGTAAGCACAGGCTTGAAACTGGATAATGTATCTTGGGTAGTCGTGAATTCAGAATATTTAATAAGAAGCAGCTTACTTTCTAAAGGCCATACATCACAGATACATTCTCTAGAGTTGTTGAAATAGATGGCTCATAAGTGCATCTAAAGCATGAGCTATTTCTTCCAGACCTGTTCTAACACACGTCCTCATGGACTAAAGGCTGCTGACAAGGCTGAAGACAGACTTTTCAACGAAAGTGCATCAAGATTCTCCACTCCAAGCCTAACATTCCACAATTAAGCCAGAAAAAAAGCAAAAAAAAAAAAAATTAAGCCAGTTAGAAAAGCAGTAATTTTCTACAGAATGGGAATTCAGTAGCATTACTAGCACAGGAAAGAGTACTCAGAGCAGTTGGACAAGGATAAAGAAAACTAGAGGCTTGCTATTAACCAAGTCTGTTTCTGCCTAGTTATAACAAACCATTTGCAATGTGCTGTCACACAGAGGATCATTAGGCTAAACGTGACCTATTTGCTTTTAGTATAAAGTTTCAAAATCTCCCATCTTCTGGCTCTGGTAAAAAGAGCATCTTGCAGAATTCTTCACGAGCATGGAATTACATAACCTGCCTCTTTGCCCTAAAAGGGAGGGGAGAATGAAAGTAAGCATCCATAATTTTCTTAGGGGAAGTTTGAATAAACCCCATTAAAAGAAAATTTCCTGTTTTCAAGGTTCTAAAACAGACATAATCCAAGCCTAAAATAGCAACATGACCAACTAAGCACATGCAAATTATGGAAATGTGAGCAACAATAAGTGTCTGCAAAGCACTGCAGTGCACAAATGTGCAAGACACCTCAGGTGAAGCTGCCACTTGGTGCTCTCCAGCTGCAAATCCATTAATCCAAGTCATTGATGCACCTTGCCCTTCACAGCCCATATAAAATGAGGAAATTTTTTTCACAAAACAAAAAAACTGAAAGCAGAGCTTTTATTCTAGCCTCATTTGCAGTGAAAAGTGACAAATTTGTGGAGACAATGGTAGAGGCCTATCAAAAAGACAGCTTTTCAGAAAGTTCAGTCCTAATGAGAGCTGGCATAAGGAAGAAAATTTCAGTCCCTGAGAGCTCATGACATTTTGACATTTGTTTTCACTCCACATTGAATCCAAAGCCAAAACTTGAGAATATTTTGCTAAATGATACTATATAAAAATGTCCATTTTTAGCTTGAAAAATGTCAGGTTTTCAGTCCTGTTTCTTTCCAAAAATGCCTAGAGCCCCCTGGACCTCAGATTTTTCTTCTCCAAAGCTTTGCCAATTTATTTTCTTTAATTTATCTGTAAAATATTTCAGTTAATGAGTAATGCACAAAGCAGGTCTATGTCAAGTGACAGAAAAGAAGATCCCCTCCTCTACAGTCCTCTTATATTACTGGAAGAATGCAATTTCAGTCTCAATTTAATCCTCTGTATCCWGTCCTGTCCTGGTTTACTCAAACATCCCCACATTAATTGTCTGCATACATGACACTGGATTTATCCTCATTGTCAGGGATTTGCCTTGGTCTGAAAGAGAAATAAAATATGCAAACACTCGTAGCAGAAAAGTACTTGCTCTCAGAAAAAGTCTAGAAGTTGAAAAAAAAGATCTCTAGCAGTGGCAAATGAAATCAGAAATTTGTTTATGCTTCATGGAATAATTGCTGTGTCATTTTCTTCGAGTTTTTAAAAGGGACCTTTGAGGACACTCCATGATAATCCCATGAAACAGAAATGTCCCACAGACTTTCCACTGCTGTCTGCTGAATGTTTACTCTTGTAACTGAAAAATTAATGAAATAAAACTCTTCTCATTTAGATTCAAAGTCGAAGGAAAAAGATACTCGAYGTGTATGCTAACGTGTGCGATGTTGCAGAAGGTGAGTGTACAATTTGCACCTACAGTAACAGCATAAATTGAGATCACAAGCATTTGCTACAAGAGAAGAAAGGCCTCTGGCTGTCTACAGAAAATAGTCCCAATCCAGAGAAGATGCTCTGTAGGTGGATTTKTATGCACTTGCCAGGAACCCCGTGGTGCTGACCCCAGAGCTGTCCAGGCTGGGCTTGGGCTGGAGCACGCTGTGATTTCCCTCTGGGCATGTGCATGGACTCCCTTCCTGTGGAGAGCAGGAAGAGGGGTGGTGGCTCTGTTGGGACACACAAACTRACCAAGATGCAAAGAATTTGCATTCCCCATCTAGAGGAAACCTGTTGGACTTATTTCTTTAGATAACAGATAAAAAGTAGCTCCTAATAGGAAAGTGTGAGATGGGGAGGGTCAGGATTGAGGGTAAGAGAGAAGTCTCAACCTACTCTGCTTCTCTAAATTTTGCCCCACATCTCACAACAAAATATGGAGTTTCCAGGCTGTGTTTTAACCCTGTTTAGGACTTGACTACCTGAACTCTTTTAGCAGAAGAGACATGAATTAAGCTCCCTGCAGAACAGGAGATGTGACTGCATTTACTTCCCAGCACGCACACACACACACACACACACACACACACACACACACACACACACACACACTTTGTGTGCACATGTATGAGTATTCTGTAATTCAGGGAGCTCTGTCTCCCATCAAATTACTACAGTTGACTAAGAAGCAGGAAAACTACAGAAGCAGATTTGGGAAAAACTTGTAGCTGATTCTCTCCTCTGTTTTCTGACCATAAATACATAGGAAATATGTCCAGGAGAAAATAATCTTTTCTCCACAGGATGAATGTTAAATCCTCCCTGGAGATTCATGATAGTAATGACGGTTGAGTGCTTGCAGAGACTTTTATGCTTGCATCTGGCATCATTGCTTCACTTCACTTCTCACTTTCCTACAAGGGCAACTTTCAATTACAGATTGTTTCAGCAGCTGCTGGTGACAGTCTCAGGGAAGGGTCAAAGCTGTCTCTGGAGCTCWAACACTCAGCCTGACGTGCAGAGCTCTATTAATGGGGCTGTTCACTAGGGACACAGTTGCAATATACTTTTTCTAACAGCTAGTAAATTGTTGAAGGAAGGGGCAGAGCCATGGGAATACATCTAATACTTCTTTTCMAGGCAACTTTTTACCCTAATTATGGTATCCTACTGTCATTATGAAGAATTAATTTGGTAATATACAGTAATAACTTTGGGGCTACATACCTATCATGAACTACCACTTAAAGGTTTTAGCTGCATTCATTTCTAACATTMATTGTAATCTGTTGTACTTTAATAAATGTCAAGACTTGTGCCCAGAACCAGCTGACAATGCACCCCTCTTTTTGCAGGTCTGAGCCCTACGGAGCTGCCCTTTGACTGCCTGGAGAAGACCAGCCGCATGCTCAGCTCGACGTACAACACAGAGAAAGCCATCGTGAAAACGTGGCGTCACCTGGCCGAGAGCTTTGGGCTGAAGAGGGATGAGATTGGTGGCATGACAGATGGCATGCAGCTGTTTGACCGCATCAGCACGGCAGGCTACAGCATCCCAGAACTGCTCACCAAACTGGTGCAAATTGAGAGATTGGATGCTGTTGAGTCCTTGTGTGCAGATATTCTGGAGTGGGCACAAGCGATGCCGGCTCCTGAACCAGCAGGGACATCCTGACATGCYTGCCTGGGGCCTGTACTTCCACATCCGCCCAAAGAAGTGTGATTCCAGTAAGCACTGCATCAAAGACTTTGGACCAAAGACCACTGATGATCCTTCTATAATTGCTCACGATAACCAATGAGAAGTTCTTCTCTTTGACTTCTAAAAGTGAAGTTACACATCGACCGAAACAAGAGCAGAAATGTCCCAAGAAGCTTGGCATGARACATGTCATTGAACAAAATGATCATGTGAAACAGTTACTGATAGTGAGTGGRCACACAAACATCCGTTTTGCGGTCTGTGTATCAGTAGAAGGGCAAAGAGCCCTGCCAACACCCTTCCTGCCTGACCTTCAAGAAAGGCATTGAGTAAATGAAAATATTCCTGTCTCTTAGGGCTTCATTCAACGGCTCAATGGTTTAAGAGTTACARTCAGAAGCAGTACCACAGCTACAGTATCAGTTAATACACATCAGGCACTAGATTTCTTTACAGACACTTAAGATGCAGAGGAAAAATGCTATACTCTGGTAAGCCTAGACCATGAGTACAGAATGCACCAGTGACATCAAACTCATCTAGAAGGTAAACCATTATTGTGAGTTTTTGAAGTACAAAAACTGACTTAAATTTGTTTTTCTTTTCACTAATGTCTGATTTTCACAGTTTAAATTKCTCTAAAATTCATTCAGACCGCAAGTCAGTATCGGTTACCAAACCTATTTGCCTAATTTATAGCTAMAATAGTGATGACGGATTTCACCAAGTGCGACCACTAAATTAAGAGACACGTCAATTACAAAGCAATACTACTTGAATTCCTAAATGCATGAGTGAAMAAAATGCTATTAAAAATATTAACTATTACCCAGAATTTAACAACCAGTATTCCATCACTTAGTAACTAGATCTTAKCTACAATAGTATCATAATTGTGCAAAGCATTTAGTGTCACCCTTTAACATCTATATTTAGTACCTTTTCAGCACTTGATTTGTATATCAGAGAAAATACATACTGGAACATAAAACCTTATCCTTCTCATTTTTTTTCCACCCTCTCTTTTACATCGTATCATACTCATTAATCTGCATATGCCAAATTTAATGAAATTTTAACTCTTCTTTCAATGMTGCAGCAAGCTGGATTTATTTGAAATTTAACCAGCTGACTGATATTGAATTTAGGGGTGAAAGTTTTTACAGATTTCAACAGGCTTCAATAATATTTCCAGATCTGCTTACAGCTCAGCAATCTTCAACACCATTTTCAAGACCGTGAATTTTCAGTTTTTACTATTGCCACTAGAATTTTAAAAAAGGGAAAGAAAGAAAGAAAAAAAAAATAAAGCATCAAGATTCTATTTTTCTTATGCCAGTGTGTAATGACAGTGTTATTCAGTGGACTGCCTCCTATGTTTTATGTGCCATTTAAAACTGCACATCACTTATTTGTTAAAAAGAGGATAAAGAAGGTACAGGAGTCTTTTTTATGTATTGGGCCATGAAAAGTTAGGGTTTTGAAACTGATGGTGCCAATGCAAACACAGACTATTTAACATTATTTTATTTAGTATACAGTATTTTTATTGTTACACAAAAGATGTGCAGGATTGAAAGAAGAATCCTGTAGGTCTTGCCAAAGCTTACTTTTTAATAACTGTGTTTAATGCTGTATATATAACTTATTATATTGTAAAGTATGAACATAAAATATGCTAATAAATGAAAGAGGTTGAACACAGTTGTATTAGCCATTTCTTTGATTAAATRGCATATTACCTTATAAATCTGTAATTAAATGGGTTAGCCAAGGGCTGGCAGGCACATTCCTGTGGTATGGGAGTGTCTTGGTAACATACATGGAGGAATCCTTGCATTTCTGTAGGATACTGCTTCTCTGCATCACTCAGGAAACTTGAAGCAGAAACTATTTTGTCAAGAGAATTTGTATTCAGCGTTTCACTTTGTAGGTATGTGAAAATKCCAAGCCCCTTTCAATTTCTCAGAGAAACTGTAGGTTTTTATCTGTGTACTGAGAACTGGTGCAGACTGTGAGACTGGTGAGTAATGTCAGAGTAACAATACTCTCATTAGCATGTCTTCACTCTGYATTTCTGAATTAGCAGTGCTACTAACATTACCAGAAATCCTAACTGGAAGCTTTCACTTCATGACAGGATAATTATGTTCACGCAGATTAGGCTGCACAGGTGGGACTAGCAGAAGACCTGCTAACTTTCGTAAAAATAACAGCACCGAGTAAAGATTTCCCCCAGACTGAAAACCACTTACTACCTTGTAAGACTTGCCCCAGCTCCTAGCCTGACCTATATTGTCCCAGTTTTTTACTTAGAGAAACTTGCTGGACTTTGCAGACCTTCTCTGGTTTCACGCTGCACTCAGGGACTGTCCCCTACACAGTGTTCAGTCCTGATGGTCCTGGACCGATGACATAAAAAAAAAAAAAAAAAAAAAAAAAANGTAGGTCTCAGCTTTGCAGTATAAAGCAAAAACAGCTGAATGCCTTTATATTCTACAATTTGGGATAATAATATTTACATTATTCATGAACAAAGAATAATGTGCATAAATGTCCAGCAGTATGGGTTGGAGGTTGAGCTGAAAAGACATGCTAGTTCTATTTCTCCCTGTCAAACTCTAAGCCTCATACAGTTCAGAAGTTCTGCTTTGTTTTAAGGAGGGTGTACTTAAGAGAAAAATTCTTACTGCTGCAGGTGAAAATCATGACCCAGAGGTACAACAATGATTCCTGTATGCAGAAGTCATTCCTCTGCAAGCAACCTCTTGATAATGAAGAGAAAATGGAGCCCATTCCCTCATTATGCATGAGATAGGCTTCCTAGGGCACATTTCACTAAATAATATAAACAGGSCAAGAATGAACTGTCTCAGGCTATATTTAGTTCTAGATGCATAATATTGCATATATATTCTATCCCCACATCTAYATAAGCTCTTTTGATTATTTATTGTGATATGATTTATAATGCATAGCACCTGTTACATAGGCATTAATTTATCACTATCAACTACTCTTCAAGGACAGAAAAACATTGATTCATTTTTGCCACTGTTCTGTGAAACTAGACTGTCTGAATACATAGGGAAGAACACTAAGAAGCCTTTGCGTGCACTGCTGCAGAAGGCATCAGTGATTAGGTAGTACACAGGTCACACACATGCATCTCATTTGTCCATCTGCTTTAATAAAAAAAAGAGTTTTGTTTGTTGTTTTTTTTTTTATTATTATTACTGAGGCTGCTATAGAAACAAGCTTGTATTAGGATTCAAGTTAGTATAACAAGTCAATTCAGGAATTATTTTCCAATTTAATCCACCACATAGAAGTAAACAAAAAATCAGGAGGAGATAGTGCTGGAGACTGATTAGTAGAAAGACAACTGAATCAGGAAGGAAACAGAGTTCAGCATCTGCTTCTGAATTCTGAAATTCAGCCTTGGTGTGCAAGACAACTGTAAAAAAAATCATCCTCACACTTTCTCACTTCAGTGGGTAGGACAGATCAAATCAAACAGACATTAAAGTGCTACTTTGTGGGAAGGATCATGAACAGAGAAATTATGTTTAATTGCATTTCTTATATAAATAACCCTTGAATCCATACACTAGAATCTTGCTTCTTCTGAAGCAAAAACCAGTCTGGCAACACTAGTTATCTCCAAACCTTCTTCAAAGGCTTACTTTTCCAAAAAGCTGATGTGTGGGTGGGATATTATACTTCTGTTTGAAACTCTACCACATGATTTTTTTTTCCCCCTGAGGCTGAATATGTTATTTTTATGWATTGTTTCTCCATAATTAACTGCACCAAGGATGCCATTTTATGGAGCTGAAGATGATCTTAAAGTAAACTTATCAGTAGGAATGCTATCTTATGCTGACCTTTCAATTATTATTAGCAATTTCCTGGCCACTGAATTCGCAGCCCTAGCTTGGGTACATCTACAAGAGCAATTACTTACCATTAAGCTGCAGTGATCAGAGAGATGTGTTATTTTCAGGGAAATATTCCTTGGGTCAAGTCTAAATATGCTTGAGTAATGAGCACAGAGAGAACTGGTTTTTGGAAAAAAACCATATATGGCTTCTCAGATCTCTTTTTCCCAGTTAAGTCTCTGTGACTTTAGAGATCAGAATGTCTTGTGCCTTATGTCTTGTTAAATTTCAACTCACGRCCACTCAAAAAAAAGTAGCTACAAGCAAGTAAACAGAAAGTGATTTTGTTCAAAGTTATCACTTCCAGTAGTAGTTAGTCATAAATACACAAGACACTTGTTTTCAAACTTATATAAAAAACAAAAGTCTAATAAACAAGGATGTTCCTAACCAAGGTCAAAGATGGCATTCAAGAGTTTCATCAGCCCAAAGCACAAAATGGATAGTGGTGGTTTTGACACAGCMCACTACAAGAGTCAGTGTAACACAMAAAGGTGCCTTTGCCCATCATAGTGTTCTTCAGGGAGGTATCAAAGGCAGGATCTCAGCTCTGCACAAGAMCATTACTTTAAAATAATTTCTGTAAGTTTTAAAAATATGTGTGCATTACATCATTCAGAGGAACACAAGGGGTCACTGCTTTGCCACTCCAGTTCCTCTAACCATTTGGAAAGTGGAAGATTACCAAATTGTTTAATAGATCAAATTTCCAACTTTCTGTACTACATTTAAATACATTATCCTGAAGATAAATGCTTTTTATCAGATCATCAATCTCCAAAGCCATATAAGTTTTAGGTGAAAAATTCAGTMTATAATTAAAGGATCCAGTGTAACAGCTCTGAATTATGAGCTCTACTTACAGCACCTTTTAAACCTGGTCTGGTAAGTTTAGTCATATATTTCAGACATTGATGCTGATCATAAATAGAAGTTCTTCAAAATATGTTGCCTTCAGCATACYTTCACCTTCCAGGTAAATTTATCTGCTACAAGAAATCTTTCCTCATGATAYATATTAAATTCAGCTATATAACATTAGAGATGAAAGCCAGTCATGCTCAGGAGAACTGGAAGACAACTGTGAAATCCCACTTTCACACCTTTTATCAGCTGGTGAAAGTCACAAACATGAAGAAAGAGCACAACTGTGCAGGTTGGGTAATATTAGCCTATTTTATTTAGCTCTGCCAAGCTTCTGCAAACACAACAGTCCCCTGCCCAGGGAACAATYTGTCTTACATGTTTGCTAAATTCAGGCTTTGTAGAGAAAGTCTGAAAATCTGTCTAACTTATCAATAGGAAATCTTTGATAACAGCAAGAGTGATTACAATTTTACAGTTGATGGATTTGTAATAAAAAAGATAAATTATTTTTCTTCATGTTTGGTAGTAGTTTTCATACCAGAAAATATCTCAACATGAAGTGATGCAACATTCTTGTTTACTTTCTCAACAAGAGGACTCTCACAGCAAGTTTAAAAAAACAGCAAGAAAGAATTGTGTGCTAGTTCTTTATCTCTCCTAAAAATAATAGGTTGTGAYTACAAGAAATTTTCTTTGTTTCATGCCAGTGTTAGTTGATCACTCCTAGAGACCTACACACAACCAAGACATGGTAGATTGTAGCGAATTTGAAGCTCTATGTTCAGATGGAACAGTTCTCAGAAAGTGAGAGTCCCTGCCTCACTTTYAAGGGCAAGTATTCATCATGACTCTTGCTTCCCCTCAAATTCTCAAAAAAAATACTTGAAAAATTACATCCTCTGTATATAATTATATTCTCAGAATATTAATTCACCTCTTGACAAAGGTGTCTGGCATATTTAAAATCGCATATTCCTCTGCAGGAAACCAGATAAACAAAGATAACGTACACCATGTTTCATTAGGGAATACAGAGCTATGGGAAAATAGCTAGAGGTACAGTTAACTTTTTAAAATGTCTCTTGTTGTAGACAGTTTTCTGGAAGAAAGGTAAACTAGAAGAAATCCATACTCACAGTATCTAAATGCCAAAAAAGCAGAAAAAAAGCCCAGAAGATTCTAGMTTCCATCTGCAAGGGAAAGACAATACAAAGAAGTGGCCAAAATGTAGCCAACTTGACAGAAATCTATCATTTCCAAAACCTAAAACAAATCCAYGAGTGACAGCAGGGAATGCAACTGGCTTCCTCTATTCCCCTTCCCCACAGAGACTGGCAAAGTCACTCAAGGGAATAAACAGGATGGGGATGTTTGAGCAAGGCCACAACAACGACTAGTGTGCACAACTGGGGTGGGTTGGTTCAAAAGCCTGATGTTCACATCTCCCATTAGAACAGGATATTCAATGCCCCATCTAACCTGGCCTTGAAAAATTTACATAAGATCAAARTTATTAGTGTCATCCTTAGGTCATTAACATAATGCATTAATATTTAAGAGATTAAAAAAMCCTTTTATTTTGCATTTTAACAGCAACCTAACATTTAGATTATAAAAACTTGAAATTAGCTGTTATTCAACTTTCCAGAGTGTAAACAATACTGCATATAAACCCCAAGGGACCCATATTAAAAGCTATACCATACTYTATGTCTCTCTTTTTACCATATCACTTTTGCCATTATTAGATGACCAGATTGTGTTGAATTTTCTACAGGATTTTTTTTTGTAATTAATTTTTTTGTATTTTTAAATGATAGTAGATGGAGAACCACATGAGGACTGGGAACTTTTTTCCCAACTAAGAGGACTTTGTCTCCAACCAAAGGTATATGCAAGCTTTTGCACTGCTGGTAAAGTTGACTGAAGACCAAAACAAATTATGAAGAAATACGTATTTCAGAATGTAACTGATCGTCAGCAAATGCTTTCAGCTATGATTCGTGTTTTTAAAAAATTACCTAGAATTGGTTTCCTGCCCAAGAATGCACAATGCTTGCTCTCTCTTCTGGTCATACTTGTGCCAAATCTGGTGTGGACTCCTTTCCCAGAAAAGCTTGTCAGAAATGTTTAGTCAAATTGCTAGAAAAATATTTGCAGTTAGAATTCAACTTCAAAGACCAATTCAAAGACTTCTGGTAAAAAAAAAAAACAAAACAAAAACCAAAAAACAAAACAAAACAAAACAAAACAAACCACCAAAACAAGAGAAGGTATGAAAATGAGAAATAAAACCTCTCTGAAGTTTTATATTGATGTCAGTGTTAGTCAGAGAGTGAAATACAGCAGATCTTTGAGCTTTAACGGCATTTTCAATTTTACAAATACAGGTTTTCAGTAATTATAGCACAAATCAGCAATTGACGGATAATTTCAATTTTCAGAAGTATCTTATTTCCAATGGTAAGAATTCCTAAACACTGAACTATGGCAGACAGAAAACATATTCAGACTYAGAAAAGAAATGTGAATTGTATTGCAAATTAATACAAAATACAGCAGAAACAATAAAATACAATAATTTCTGTTAGGGATTATTATAGCCAGACATTGTAAGAAATGCTTTTATTAACATCTGCAGAGATATTACCATCCAAAGTTGCACCACACAAAGCAGGATAAAATACTAAATGTTACTTAAATACAGGAAAAGATCAAACAAACATAAAAAGATTCTGAAATCAAAACAACAAAATTTCTCAGACAATACATCTAATTATGTTAAAACAAAATCTGGTTTTAATCATTAAAACTGTAAGATGATCAAAAGATAATTTGATAAGGTATCTGTCTGATACTTATCAGCCATAACACAAATAAATGAATCTATAAAACTCTCTGAAGAGTCAAAAGTAACTAAGATTCATACCTGTAAGGAAAGGTWGGTATTTCTGATCTGCTTATTCTAAGGATTCAATTGCTTAGATTGCATGAGTCATTCACAGTAGCAGCATTACTTCACTTCTTTAAAAAGCATTGAAGAAAGCCATCTAGCATATGACAAAGTTTTTAATTTTCCTTTTTATGAATGAGTGAAATACCAACAAGAACCCATACAATTACACAGTACTGAGGTGCTGCGGTATTTATTTATACAAATCTGTAAAAAAAAAAAAAAATCCAAATTTCAAGTAACATAGGCAGTCRGTATAAATTATACAGAACAATAATTAGATTGGAAGATAGTGCTAGTGACTTGTGCTTAGACTGGAGGCAAGAGAGCTACTCCTCAACAATCCTAAATTCAGCAGAATTGAATTGAGGTTTATACASAGAAAAGCGTGATCTGGATTTATAGTTCTATGCAATTCTTGGATCATTTGGTGAAGAGCAAACAATTCAAACATCTTCTTGTTGCTTCTGCAAAAGAATTTTAATAAAATAATTGTCAATTGAAAATTGAGAGGTTTTATWTAAACAGTAAAGATGCTTCAGAAACTATTTTTTAAATGAAGAAAAATGTGCATTACTTTGACGACTTCCTACAACTCTTCTGTGTTGCATATGTTTCTAAGCATAAGGTTATCAATGCATGCTGAGAGRAAGTTGGAAAAATTATCAAAAATTCTTATTTTTCTTGAGTAAGTGATATGTACACAGTATAATGAAAGCTCAAGGAAAGGCTGTAACAGGTTTTTCACTCATGTGAAATAAGATTTGAGAGACAATAAATTTTAAAAATTAGGATTTATGAGCCAATTTTAYTTTGACTAGTAAATGCCAGTTATAATTTATATTAGATTATTTTATAGGAAAACCTTTTTCCTAGAGTTCAACTTTATTCCTTACAAGAAATTACAACCTCTGYTTTGTCAACAGCTTTAAGTCCAATWTAAGAATTAAYTCWGTTTAGATACCCCCTTTCATAAATGAAGCAACTCCATTAAGCAATCTGCCAGTGAAGCACATTACTATTGATATGATGACCATTGTTACAATAAACCAATCATAGGTAAGCAATGGGAACACAGTTTAAAAAGATGAACATTCCCAAAAGAGCTCAAAACCTTAATTTTTTTTTTTTTTTTAGGGAATGGAAATTGATTAAACCTGAACACAAATCAAAGACTAAATTTTCAAAGGAGATTACTAAGCATCTGAGTAAAACTGAGAATCTAGGATTCTCTTCTAAGAATTCAAAGTATCTTTGTCACCTGCAGACATAAGGAATAATTCCTCTGTAAGTCTACACTGTGAGGCTTTTTTCTAGTTTGTACTCTGTACACTGAACTAGATTTATGCACTAATTGAGAGTCTTGTCTTAAACCTCTATGACAGAAACAGTTTCAATTTAACAAACTTTGAAAGTCCAGCATTGTATATGGTAGAGGGAATAAATAGGAAAACAGAGATGAGGCTTTGGAAAAGAAAAGAAGATAAAGGTCACCAAATTCACTGATCTAATAATAGCTAACAGAATAATGGTAATAAAGGATTACTTTATTCTGGAGAGCTTTTGCAGTATAACACTTAGTTTTTCCAAAACTGGAATATCTAGCTTAGAACTTCGAAGCAATACTGAGCAGGTCTGGAAGAAGGATTCACTACTGCAGGCTTCCAGGAAAGGTTGTAAGGAACCTGGAAAAGAATTAAAAAACTGTATCAGAGAGTTCCGTGCAGGGAGAAGTATAACAGCTATKGACACCTTTAGAAGGCCTCAAATGCTTCATGTTGTGCAATAATTAGAACAACCAAATAAATCTGCTTCTACTGATCATGTGATGCAAAACTCAGGTAAAACTCGAAACTGAAAAATTACACGTTCCTAAGAGTTATGACACTACTGATCCTAAAATGAAAATAGGCTCAGTTATCTTCAGAACAAAGGAAATCAGGAAACAACCATTTTAAACGCAAATAAAAATTCTTACATTGAAAATCTTTATTAAGTGCTCATTTATGATGATTCTTTCCTTAAGATCATGGGAGGGGAACATTAGGCTGCGCAAAAAGCCTCAGAAAGAAGTAAGAGATCATGTGAGACCTGAGAGTCTTTCAACATACTGTCCCTGTACTCAGTTTCAAGAGAGGAAACATAATTATTAAGAGCTAAATTCAAGATCTGTACAACAATTAAATTCAAAAATCCTTCCCTTAAAATAGTGGMGTTCTTATGTCACACTGAAAAAACATTTCCCTCTACCTTGTTTACCAAAATCTAATAACTTCAAAATAAGGTTAAATCTGTTCCCTGGTTATCTCATTCTTGGTTCTAATATCACAGATTAATTTCTATTAAAACATTTTAAATAGTAACAATTTATTTTCCCTTAAAATTAACAGACTTTTATATACCACAGGGCAGTTGCATTATCAGAATATACTTGCACAGAAAATACTTTAATTCCATAATTTTAAAATATTTAATGGGTTCCACTTAATAAGAAACTGGAGTATGCAAATTACAGCATAAGCCAATAAACAAGACATTAAGAAAAATTTATATGCTGAATACTGCAATTTATAAATAGAATGTCAAGATGTTTTTGTCAGTACAAAGAAGGCTCGACATCTATTTTGGTCAAAATTTTCCCTTTCCTCGTTCAAGGACATATAACTTACTAAATGTAACAAGTAGCCTTGGAATGAATTCAAGGTTTTAACTTATGTCAGAAGAAGTGCTATGGAAAACTGTTTGAAATAGGGCTTTAAAATAAATCAACTTGGCATTTTAAGTCAGCCTGAGAGTCCAAATAACTAATTTTCTGAGCTGGGCATTTTCACTGAATATTCAGTAAGGACCAAGTTATTCCTATTCCAACAAATAACCAAATGCCACCTCCCTGATACACAGGGAACTCATGAGACTTGTGGGCTTTTGCTGGTTTATACCCTTAAATAAAGAGACTGAGAAACAGTAAATGCCTTTAGCACACATCAGAGAAACTACGGSACTTGCATTTCCTCTCTTTTCAGCAGAGGTGTTTTGTCAAATCAATTTTAAATGCTGGATTCAACAGGTGGAATCCACAGCATGTATCATGGAATGTGTGGATGGAAATCATACAGATGCAGGAAAATAACAGAGTTTGGTAGCAAGAGGCCAATCTCGCAGCAATAAAATGCAACAACAGCTAACGTATTATAAAGTCTGGAAAAGGCAGGCAGATGTTTTGTGGTTTGTATAGCTGATGGGTCTTCTGTTCTTTACCAAAGCAATGCAAAACAATAATTATTCAAAGAGATATGCATTGTCAAGGCAATAAATCATTATAAATTAATCTGCTTTTCTGTTTACATCTACTTGCATGTTTCTTGCATTTTTTCTACCATGTTCAATACACCTATGGTTTTACGCATGCTGTCCTCTCMGTTTTAGTACTACTTCCAGTCACAGTCTTCTGTCTCTAAATTGTAACAGTACTAAATTTAAAATCAGAATGAAAGTAAAGTAGAAAAGTAAGTAGTAATCAGCAAAAAAAGATAAGATACTATTACTCATTTTATTTTAGCTTATGGTCTTCAAAGCACACCACTTTTAATACTTTTTTTCAATATTTCTGTACTTTTTCTGCATAATAAGGTATTCTTTTTCAGAAATTGTCATATAAAAAACCCCTCAGGGCTTTCTGTCAATTACAGCAAACAGAAAATCCTCAGATGAGCTCACCACATGTGCTACATTTAGTGATACGTGACTGACACAYAGTCAAGACTCAGTGCACTTTACTGAGCCACTGCTTTCTGTGACAGAATTCTGGGACTATTAAGTACTTACAGCAGAGTCTTAAACCTGGAAAAATAATTAACTAAAATTTCACTTCTGGAATGATGCTGTAATGCCCTAGTGAATCTAACTTGTTAAAATCCATGAAAAGAGGTAACAAAASCACGAACAGAAAGGAGCAAATAAGCAAAGCCCAGTGAACACAATCTACCATCTTAAGAGTACTTCCTGACTAAATATTTCCATCACTATGGAGTGTTTGAAGTAAAATTTCTATACAATAAAAAGAAGACATAACCTTCTGTAAAGAAAGCAAAATCTAGGACTACAACTTATGTAGTTTGCAATTTTATGGTAATTCTTCTAAAATTTACTAGTTTCCACAAATGACTGCCTATTCCCAAGAAACAGAACCCCTATCAACCTGCACTACACCATTGATGAAGTCTGTTTTAACAACAAAAAATTGAAACAGTTTCTCTTACTTACAAAGATGCTTATCAGAAAGGGAAGAAAATGAATGTGAGAACATTGACATTCAAGAAGCAAACTGAGAAGAAAGGTTCTTCTATTTTCTGTTGCCCATTAAGATAACAAATGGCTTTAAAAAACTCATTTAACATGACTTCTGACTCAGCTGAAGTCTGACTCATGACAGATCTTAAAGATACAGTAACAAAGATCTTAAGTTACAGATCTTAAATATCAGTAACAAAGACTGCTTGCATGAATAGGCCAATCCTACAATTTATTCCTATAAATATCCTTAAACAGCCAGAGGACACTTCTAATTTCTTTTCTGCATGGTAAACAAATGAACAAATTTGATTTCTTTTCTGCATGGTAAACAAATGAACAAATGCCATTGTTTAGTTGACCTGAATATTTCTTTGCTTCCCTGCTCTTACAGGCTCCTTAAACATAATACATTAAAAAAAAAACAACCCAAAAAAACCCCATATATGCACACACACACACGCATATATATATATATATATATATATATATATATATACTCTAAGAATGTTCTGCCTCTGAAATTTACAAATTCATGCAAAAGACATTACTTTTAAGACATTAAAAAGACATGTCCCTATAAAACAAAAAAGCTAAAGTGGTAGTATTTCCTATAAATTTGCAAAGTTAATCACGTGAAAGCAAATTGATAAAAGCCCACATTAAAATGGGCTTTCTGTAAACAGCTTATATATTCAATTCAGATAATCTTTTGAAGAGTATATTGTAAGTAATCAGAAAATAAACAAAACAAATTTATAATTTAAATGCATCTCTCACTGACTAACTAAAAGAATGTAAGCTTCACACTTTTAAGTATTTTGGTGGCTTAGATTCTGCACAGATTTTGCTTTTATTTAGCTATTTTATAAAAACTTAATTGGAATTCATCCTGACAGGATTTTGTCACAATTTAAAATAACCTGCAAAAGCCTCCATTTATCCTTACAAAACTGGAGCATGCTGTAGTTGCATTAACTTAGCTGGACTGGTAGACTGCAACGAACAAGCAATTTGTCATTGTTGACAGAATTCAACAGAAATTGACCTCCAAGTAATCAGTCAAACACAGCATAAAATCTCACCTATAGTTATCCAGAAAATTCTGTTTCATACCAAAAGGTTTGTCACTTCAGGAAATGGAAGTGACAACCCTAAGTATGTGTTTTAACAAATTAAAGATTACAGTTTTTTCTCATTTTCTAATTGTGTGAGGATCTGCTGGGAGAAAGGAAAATACATGACAGCATGACATGCAGCAGGGTCTACTAGTGTGGAAAAGTTACCAAAGTTAACTGCACAGCACAGCAAAAACACTTCAAAGGAAACAGCAGTATCACTTGYCTATTACTAACTGTCTATGGGAGTCACCTACAAAATCTGGACCAWTTGCTGAATCTAACATTTTCTCCTGTAATCAGTAGCTAGGACTGCTCAGAGACAGTGATTAGAGCACAGTGGAAGTGCCCACAAGGATGATGCTAAGAGAGCCCAAGGGCAATTTCAGCTGGTCACCCATTATGTGTTGATCTCAGTACGACCTGAATTGTTCTTCCTTTTCCTCAGATGTGCAAGGGATTTGAACACCCATGGGACAGGATGTATAGGTGACCCATAACATTCTCATATGGCAACTGGAGATTACATACAGGGAAAAAAAATAGGATAGCACTGTATTTTTGGGGGGTTTTTGATTGTCTAGAGCTTGATGAAGGTGATGACAGAGTTGAGTGTTTTGGGCTAAGAATCAGAGGAAAGGCCAAGGCAGACATCCCGGTGGGAGTCTGTAATAAGCCATCCAACCAGGATGAAGAGGCAGATGAACTAGTCTACAAAAACTGGGGAGATGTCTCATAATTCCTAATTGTTCCAATAGGGGATTTCAATTTACCTGATACCTGGTAGAAATAAAACACAGTAAAGAGGAAACAGTCCAGGAGGTTCCTGGAATGTGTGGAAGAGAACTACCTAACACAGATGGTGAGGGAGCCAATTAGGGAAGGCTCCCCATTGGATCTGCTACGTGTGAACAGAAGACTCATGGGTGATGTGATGGCTGGAGGCTGTCTTGCACACAGAGATCACAAAATGGTAAGMGTTGTTTATTCTTGAAGAAGTAAAGAAGGGGGCCAGCAGATCTATTTACTGGGACTTCCAGAGGGGCAGACTTTAGCCTGTTTAGAAGACTGGTGGAGAGAGTCCCTTGGGAGGCAGTTGTGAGGGGCAATGGTGTCCAGGAAGGCTGAACATTCTTCCAGGAAGAAATCTTAAAGGCACAGGAGCAGGCTGTCCCGTACGCCAAAAGACAAGCTAGCAGGAAAGCAGAGCGGCCTGGCTGAACAAAGAGGTTTAGCTGGAAYTCAGGTGAAAAAAGAGAGTTGATGGTCTTTGGAAG